CGGTTGGTTTAGATATCAGATTTTCTTTCACCTCTATGAGTTTACCATCATCGGTCTTTAGTTGAGGAATTCTTCATCACAAGTTGTTAACAGCAACGGCGTTCAGTCAGTCAATTCATACTAAGGATAATGTCAATTTCCTTGTATGGTATTTCAACGATGTTTTACAAGGAATTATCGCTTAACGAACGATTTTGATTTATGTGATATAACCACATATTTGCGTCGTAATGAATTAGAAATCAGAATGGAATACTTCAGATAACAGAGTTTATTAATTCTAAACGTTCGTGTTTGAATCAGCGATCAGATCGTCTTGAGTCAGGATCTTTGACCTCAACTTCTCAGATGTTGTTCGTAAAATCAATATTAATCGTTTCTTCAAAGTCGTCTTACTTCTACGAGACGTTCCGGTATAGATCAATTTTGCCATTCGCGATGCGATGTGTACGCTAATAACGTATCAGAAAGTTATGCACATTTCGTTTACTCTTTTGTCTCTTCACCGAGTACGAAGGATTGACTTGAGTCTAGCTCGATGTAGTTTTTTTTTGTACTAACAATTATTATCTAATGAGAATTTTAACAAAATCAACATTTACTAAGTAAATTCTCATACCTTTTTCCTGGAGCAGAGGGATGCGAGAGTCGTGGATGTGATTGACATTTTATTTTATTATTATTTTTTTTTAAAAATAAAATTTCGATCCGAAGATCGGGTTTAAACCATTTGCTCCGATACCAAACTGTAACACCCTAATCTGTCCAGGTCTGCAGCCCCTTTCAGATTAAAGTATTAACTTGGTAATCGTAAAAATTTAAAAGATTTCAAACACTTTTATTTATCACAATAATATTTTTCATAATATAAACAGTACGGAGTTTTCAATATTGCGGAAGCTTAACAATCATAATCACAAACATAATTTATTTATGTTCTTTAATTCAAAACCATCACATCCATTCCAACAATCTCGCCTCCGTCTGCCACCAGGATCATGTCACTTCATTAACCTGCGTGTAGCAAATAAAACATACTACACGCTCAGCGTTGAAGCTGAGTAAGCATATCTAATGCATCGAACATCCATATAAACTGAATCTAAATTCATAATCAAATCATTTGATATCATGCACATAATGTTCAGTTCAGATAATCAATAATTATTAAAAATTATTCATCATGCATTATTCAACAT